AATTTCCTTCGAGACCAAATAAATCTCAGAAAAACTGAGCTTGTTATGGAGCACAAACAGCAGGTTAGGTGGCCTTTTGGCCGAATTTCAAAATAAAGCACTTTGGTTGACCCTTATAGGTCTTTGCAAGTTTGTTTTTGAGCTGTTTCCTCTTTGAAATCTCAAATGAAGTAATTTCTAACTTTTTTTTTCATCTATTTGTATCTGACAAACCAACAACTCCCCACCTGAGGGCGACGGATGATCCATTATAAAGCYCAAATCTCTTCAATAAAACTAATTACTTAATTAAAAGTAACAGAAATACACATGCATAAAATTAACTTACAAAACAGATCAAYAGGTTAAAATAATTAGGCAGGAGGAGACAAAAAGTTCAGAATGATTAGTAACTTGTCAAAAGGACATTTTTAACGGTACATTAATGCATTTTCTTGATGTTTTAGCCAAAGAATAGAATCAGTTTAATCTATTTTGAGCTCAGTGATTGGTGGATTGTGTGTTGATGCATGTCCTGACTGCTGGTGTCTGATTGGTCGGTCGGCGTAGTGATGCAGGTATGACTCATCTTCTACTCAGAGCCCAAAAAAAACGCTGACATGGGGTCCTGACCTTTTGTCTCCTTGGTGACCACTGTGATGTCATCACCTCTGCTTGATCAACAACCTCCTCTTCTGCCTCCTCTCTGTCCATCTCATTTAATCCACCCGGGGTTTGTCAGAGAGATAAATGGTAAAAAGATCAAATAAAATAGAATGAAAGCCCTAGGTCTGAGTTAAGGATGCTCACCATATYAGAGCAATTGTTCGATTACTACTCGTGTTGGAGAATATCTGCTCAAATTTTGGCATTTAATCCGATTTTCTGTGCTGTTTTTTATATTTAACATGGTTGTTATAAGAATTGCTAAAATCTAGCTGTAACTTGAAATTTTGACATAATCTGTACATTTTTATACATGAATGAGCTGTTTGGTTAGATGGTTGCAGGGTGGAGTAATTGATGTAGAAGTGGTCGCAGGGGTTGAGGAGTAAGGTGAACAAAGCGGTGAATGCATCATCAGCTCTCTGTAAGGTCTCAACAAAGAGCCAGAGATTCTTATGTGTGGCTTCAGGACGATTTAGAAGGAGGAAGAGGCCGTAGTGTTTTTTTCCCTTCTCTGTCAGTCCGTCTTATGTTAGGTCCTTTGTTTTCCCTTTTTTCAGACGTCTCTTTCTGTGATCATAAAGTTCAGCAGTTCAGAGAAAGGCGAAGAGCTTGTGGAAAATAAAAGACAGGGACACGGCTGAGTAACGCCAAGGCTGTAATGAAAGCCAGCTTCATTCTTTACATACTGTTACATCATCCCCACCAGCTGTTTTACTCACAAACTAACTCACAAGCTTCAGCAACAATTTCAACTCATCCGAGCTTCAAGACTGTGCTTCTGTGGGAAATATTTGGGTCAAGATAATCGAGTCGGGTCTCCAGAGTGTCACTCTAATGGGATTCTTGAGCATCAATTTTGTTAGCTGTTATTTTGTTTTAATGAAAGTTTAACCATGAGATCTTCTATCAAACGGGACCCAAAATRTTCAGAAGACGTTCCACACCAAATATTTTAGGGGGAAAAGGGTTTTCAGATGATGGAATTACTTAACTTTGGTTCCCTCTACTGGAGAACTAATTGCTTAACATAAGGCCATGTTTTGAAAATATCCATCCATTTTTTCCCACTTATCCTCCATCAAGGGGGTTGCCAGTGCCCATGTAGAGCAGTCACTGTGGGAAAGGCAGGGGAATAACACCCTGGACATCACAGGGACACAGAGAAAAATTAGGCACCTAGAGACATTTCTTCTATGAGTTCACCTGTCCAGGGTGTACCTAGAGTACCAATGACACAATGTACCTGGAGAAAAGCCACTTTTTGACAGGGAGAAAATGAAAACTCCACTCCCCACCAAGCCAGAGTATACCCTTCCAGGTCAGAGAACATCCCTCAAAGCTAATATATGCCCCTCCAGGTCAGAGTATATTTTTCCTGGCCAGAGTATACCCCTCCAGGCCAAAGTATACCTCTCCAGGACAGAGTATACCCCTCCAGGTCAAAGTATGCCTCTCCAGGACAAAGTATATCCCTCCAGGCCAGAGTTTACTTTTCCAGGCCAAAGTATACCTCTCTCCAGGCCAGAGTATACCACTCCAGGTCGAAGTATACCTTTCCAGGTCAAATAAAAAACCTCTCCAGGACAAAGTATACCCCTTCAGTTCAGAGTATACCTCTCCAGGCCAGAGTATACGTTTCCAGGGCAAAGTATATGTTTCCAGGGCAAAGTATACCTCTCCAGGCCAGTGTATACTCTTCTAAGGTCAAAGTATACCTCTCCAGGCCAAAGTATGCCTCTCCAGGCCAAAGTATAACCCTCCAGTTCAGAGTATACCTCTCCAGGCCAAAGTATACATTTCCAGGTTAGTGGACACACTCCAGGTCAGAGTAAACCTCTCCAGGGTGAGTATACCTCTCCAGGCCAGAGTATATCTCTCTAGGCCAAAGTATACCCTTCCAGGCCAAAGTATACCTCTCCAGGTCAGAGTATACCTCTCCAGGCCAAAGTATACCCCTCCCGACCAGAGTATACTGCTCCAGGCCAGAGTATACCTCTCCAGGCCAGAGTATACCTCTCCAGGCCAAAGTATACCTCTCCAGGTCAGAATATATCTCTCCAGGCCAAAGTATACCCCTCCAGGTTAGAGGACACACTCCAGGTCAGAGTAAACCTCTCCAGGCTAGTGTATATCCCTTCAAGTCAGAGTACATCTCTCCTTAACTTGGTCAAATCTTCCGTTCGTTATCAAGACATGAMAAATTTTTACTATTTTTGTGATAAAACAGTCACAAACCAAATTTTAGAAGTTGTAGTTTTAGAACATTTTGACTTTTCAATGAGAAATGTGGTCTTTGCGATCTTTTTTGGAAGTCTTATATTTTTACTGACCGAAATTTAGTTGAAGTAATACGTGTCTACATGTTAAGAAGATTTAAGTTGCTTAACTTGCCTAACAAAATTGGTAATCCTTCTATGTATGACTCAAGACTCCTGATAACATGAGGGTATAATCAGGCCTRAGGGGCATTAATTGGCCTAATGTATTTGAGGTATAATTTAGCCTTGACCTCCTTGTATAGTTTGGACTAGGGGTAAACTATGGCTTGTTATGCAAACCTGCACCTTCYTGCTAAGATGTGACAGCTCTGTTCTGTAAATGTCTAATAGAAATAAACAAGTTTTAGTATTCCTTGAAGGTGTGCATATCACCTGCTGCCTTTCATACCAGTTTTAGTCAAACATGCTATGCTGATATAAYATGGAGTTTTAGATGTTTTGATCAAACCTGGAAAATAATGTTATGCACAATCTTATTTAATTTTATGAGCTGCATCAATCTCAAGAGAATGTGGATGACTCTCAGCTACAACCAATCTAACTCAAGCTCCATGTTATTTAAAACTGACTTGAATTCTAGCCGTTGTTTTGTTTTGGTTAATTAGTTGTGGGGGCCATCTGGAATTGGAATGACTCCAAAAGTCGATGCAAAGTTTTTAATCAAAAATCTCATGCAGTGTTTTGTGGATGAGTCTCAGCTAAACCCTCACACAGTTTTAGCTCGATRTCTGTAAAATTGGCAGAGTTGGAGCCATTTTTGTGCTTTCTAAATTTAGTTGGCTGTGGCGACCACTTTACAGTGAGGTGACTCCAAAAGTTAATCAGCTGTGCATCAGACAGCTATTTCCTGAAAGTTTAATTAAAATCCATCCAGTGTTTCATGAAGCTTTTTGCTCAGACAGACAGGTTTGACTTTAAGGAATAATCAATATAATTTTAAATAGAGATTTTGTGTAATCTGTTAGCAGTCTAAGCCATTTTTTGTTTGTTTTTTGGCTGTGGCAGCGGGTTGAAACGATTATTACTTGTACATTTAGAGACCACTTTCTGTAAGTCCTAAAATGCATGTTTTTGGACTGTAGGAGGAAACCGGTGTACCTGGAGAAAACCYGGGCATTGAATCCAGGACTTTCTTGTTGTGAGGCAACAGTGTTAACCACTAAGTTGTCATGCTGCCAAAGATAAAGTAAAAGCTAACAGAAGAAACATATTTGCATAATTTATCAAGAACATTATTGGGYTGAAATACATTTCAAGCTACAGAAAACCTCAGCTGTTTGGTTTCTCTAATTATATCAAAAATATGACTTTCAAACTGTGTTTGTCCTAATTAAAATACAATGAAAACTGGCAAATGCTATTGTGGAAACAGCTGAATTGGTTGTTTGTTGGCAGTCACCACTGCATGGTCTTGGACCGGGTCAGCTTCCTGGTCAGGGCGTGGCGAACAGTCAGCATGTAGGAGCGGCGGTCGGGCAGAGGGCGCAGCTGATCAGACACCAACCTGGCAACAAATTGGACAACTTGTCAGCAACATACCAAGTGGATTAATGAAAGCTCGAAAACCGAATGARTTCAGGGAAATGACGAAACAAGTTGGAGGTTAAATCCATTGGCAACTTGGTTTGTACAAAGTCAAACAAAAAAACAGCAGAAACAAACCTAATGAGCTGCAAAACAGCCGTTTCCACTGCTGAAACCGCTTCAGCCACAGACAGCTCTCTAAAACTGCATCTACATACACAAACACAAACACTTAAAACTATCATTTAGACACAGTGAAGAAATTAAAATCCATGATCTACAAGCAAACCTTAAATCTTTGGCAAGTTTTTGCCCTTCCTCTGTCGTCACTTCTCTCCCAATTTCTAGATCTGCTTTATTGGCTACCAGTACTGTAGGAACAACTACACACCCACAGAGAGATAAAGGAAAAAACAATAAAACAGCAGAATGATGTTGTGGCATGTAGTTTGGACAGGCTACCTACACAAAACATAATGTGCTACCAAATAAGGAATGCCTGTCAGCTCCATTCGTGTGAAAGTAACAATAGACAAGATGTCGAGCAGAAAACAGACTCAACCTAAAGATAATTCAGCTGAATGTGTTATTAGTAACTGTCTAAGTTATGGGTTCTCAGAGACCAGCTATACAGTTTTGTCAGATGAAATTATTTCCTGTTTTGTAACTTGAAAACCTGAAAAATCTTGAACATTTAGAGCTGTCTTTAAAACCAWAGCAGTGTGTTTAAAACTGTGAGTAAATCTCAAAATTCTTAGAATCATTTTTATTTTAGTGCATTGGGAACACTGCCACTTAYACTCTGTTATGGACTAATTATTTATATCTGTTCTACCTTGACACTGTCCAGTAATCATATCTTATTATAACTAGTTCCGGCTGTTTTACTCTATCGGCCCAGACTTCAAGACTCCAGCAATGCATGACCTCTTTAATTTCTGATAAGGTGTTTCCGGGCTGACAGTCCTGTCATTGGTTAGATGGTTACAGTTGGCGAATTGTGATTGGTTGTAAGCATGTCACATGATGTTATATTATCGGCTGCTCTGCGCTGACGAGCCAGCCACAACTCGACAGACTTCCTGATTGACTTCTGCTTGTTGTTGCTCAGATTAAATCAATTGACGACCATACACGYAGACTTTCTGTGCATTTATTCCAACATGTTTCTGCATTCTTGGTAAAACTTGCCACAACATACTCTAAATCAAACCATGCATCAATTTTTTAATCATTTTAAAAACAATTGGGAAAAATTGGGTTGTTCTGAAATATAGAAGTGTCTGCATTTTTCTTTACAAACTCAAATATTTATTGTATAAACTGAAAAATATTTAGGATTTATCATTCCTGTCAATCACCAAACTAACAGTTTCTGAGAACTGTTGGAGGTCAACCAACGTCTGGCACCGATGAACAGGTATTCGGTTCCAGGATGGTTTTACAACATTTAACAATTCCTTTGCACTTCTTTATTTTGCCTCAGAAACAGAAACATTTTTGATATTCCTCACAAGTTTTCAATTGGATTAATGTCCAGGAATTGAGCTGGACACTTCATAACTTTGATTTTTASAATTGCTTGTTTACTGGTGTATTWWATGGGTTTTGAGCTTTACTCACAAYTTTGAACACACTATTATTTTGARCACAACTGYRTATGTGGACATGCAAATTTTAYTTTGTGGTTCTGTRYGTTTAATAGATTTGATTAKYTCTAACWTTTGTGACTCCTAGTTAATATAGTACAGATTCTTGTATCAAAGAGTAATGCACCRGCCTACCAAGACTACATTTAGTTTTGTCGATGACAGCTTTGAGTCGAGGGATCTCCAGGAAGCTGCAACGCTGAGTGATGGAGTAGATCAGCAGGAAACCATCAGCCCAGCGTATGGACGACTCCAGAGAAGCCACAGAGCYTTCCTGGAGGAGTGTATATCAAAAAGTATCAACATTTATTTYTAAATTTACAGGGATAAATGATGCACATTTGGCACCAATCTCATAATTGTAAACTTTATGAAAACATATGAGCAAGCACCTATYTTAGCTCAAATACACAAGTAGTAGTTTGGATATGTTTAGAGTTAAAATAGCGATCTCCACTCAGGCTATTTTTAGAAAACTAGTGACGTGACTACATCTGCTCAACACCTGTGTGCATTCAAACTCTGGTAGCAGCTCTGTTTATTTCAATCACAGTGTGAGGTTTTACCTGTGTTGAAGCTTAAAGAAATTCGGGACAATGGCATCCAATGGGGACCTCCACTCAGGCTATTTTTAGAAGACTAATCACGTGACTACGTCCACTTAACACTGGTGGTCTAACACTGTGGTTACATGAAATTGTGTGGTCACGCAAACATACATTATCAAAACTAGACCGTCTCATTTAACAGTCATTATATACAGCCTGCTCAGACTGCGTAGTAGGGTGTGGCCTCAGTGGACCACAGTCCACGTGGGCTACAACCCATGAACTGAGACACATCTGAGTGTGGCTTCCTATCGGTCTGCCATGAAATTGGTATTATAATCTAAAGGGAGTGTCATATACTAAAAATGATAGACGATATTTAAACTAAGATTGCCTCATTAGTTATATTTTCTTGATTTGAGGTGCTGGGGTTTTTTGGGTGTCAACATTTTGCTACAATGAAAGGAATCACAGATCTGCCAAATCACTCAATGCTGTTCATTTTATTAGGTCTAATTTAAGCAAAACCTTTTAGATGTTATTTTATTTTCATACTAAAGAAAAAAAACTGTGATTATAAATAAAATTAAACAAAAGATAAAATTGACCTTGAATGGTAAGTCCATGATCTCCATTTCCAAGACCTCCTGGTCCACCAGCCGATTACATCTGTATGTCACTTCTGCAGAAACATCTGAGCTATAATTATCCTGCCAGTGGCTAATGTAGGTGAGTAAGAAATGCTCCAATTATTTTTGTCCATGTCAGAAATGTAAAAATATTTATTGAAGCCCTTACCCTTTTTATGGTCATATTCTCCTATAAARCGTTTGGTTATGAAACGAACACACAGTGCTGCAGACACAAAACAGACACGGTCACCGGGGAGCGCAGGGCCTGAAACACAACACACACTGGCAAAGATTTCTCCTCTGATTAACACGTTCACATTTGATCTGCACTCTGTTTGCTACACGTCGTTGTGGAGCTGCCTGCCTTGTTTAAACAAACGAGCGAAGGGCTTTCTCTGAGCTCGGCTCACAGTCTGAAGGGCTYGTGTTTGTTTGACTTTTGTGTCTGCCGCTAAAGGACTCGCTGTATTTTAGCAGAGGACATTAAAAAACGGTTGGTGACATTTGTTTGAGGCGTCCTCAAAGCTTGCCACTGTGTTCATATTTACTGCATGATCCGTGGCGATTTATGGTGAGACAGAAACCCCAACCYTATTTATTTCAAATTAGAAAACCATTTAAAACAAAGTGACTGATCCRCCTCCTATAGAGCGGGGGACTCTGCAAACTGACATAAATAAGCACCACAATCCAGGGGTCTGAATCTTCTGGTGGCCCTGGTTTAGTGAGGTTATCTGAGAARCACAACCCAGGAATAAAGAAAATAATGAGATAATGATGTATTTAAAYTCAAATGGATGCAAAAACACCTGATGGGAATACAAAGTAAACAAATGCTGAAGTACCACACAGATGCACACAAACTTTAGGAGAAAAAAAGAAGACAAGGAAACACTACAGTAAATGTACCCAACTATATACATGAATTTTGCCCAAAAGACGACTCGAAAAAAGAGATTAAGCTGTGTGAAATAAACATACACGTGCTTAGGCAACATAAAAGTGGCACCAAGATCCACTGAGATGTTTATGGAAACAGGCAGAAGTTCAAAGGTCACAGAGGTTACACCTTACGGCTCAGGAAACTGGGTCAACTTTAGACTTTCTGTTCTGAGCCTCTCAAAGCGGAACTAAACTCCCTTTGTCTGCTCAAGGATGACTGAATATTAAATCTTTTCAATGGYTTTTGAGCTCAGGTTTCAGGAGGTCAGTTATGATCTATTTTACCTGTTTTTCCGGTGTTATGAGCTCCCAAAATAAGAAGTTTCACCAGCACCATCTTCCTCCTTGAAGTCACTACTCGTCCGTCTTCCCGTGTACGAGAAAAGCCGTACGACAAAAAAAATAAAATAAATAAATACTGTGCAAATAGTCATGTGACTAAAACTGAATGCTTACTGCAGATGCAAAGCTTCCTTCTGAGTGAATACTGACCTCAAGGAAAGAAAACAATCCAGATGCCAGGAGGAGTGAATGAACCTGCCTCAGACACTAAGCAGAGCAGAACAGAGAGATGCGACTATCCTCGTCTCATGTCTGCCCGACTCTCTCTGCTTGTGTTTGGGTGAAAGAGCTCTCCATCTTTGGGAACAGCAAATGACAAGAGCCCATCRTCTGGAGGTGTAGAATCCCAAGTCTACAGGTTCTTTCAAGACATGTTTAAATCTTTTTAGTGGTTTCGGATCATCCCGATAAACTGCCTCACACAATAAAACACAACAGGCTCAAGTAGAGGAATTAATAAGGTTTTGACTCTAAAAGTAAAAATAAAAAGGTTCTGTTTCACAATTATTACAATATAATCAGTGTGATTAAATAAATAGCCCCTAAATAAATGTAAAATGTGATTTATTTTGTTGATATAAATTTCTGGAAATGTTTTCATCAATCTTTTTGCTGTCTTTTCAAAATAGTCAACTTTGTTTTGGGGGAAAAAGCAGAAATATTTAAGATTAATTTATTAAATTTAGAAAAAGGAGTAAAAATTAAAAGTTTCTTAAATGCCATTTTTTAAATTTTGCCACAAGACAGCGCCATTTTCCATTTACGGGAGACAATTTATTTTAATGTTTAATTTCATAACATAACTTACGGACAAGTTGGGGTTTATATAAAGTGGGACTGCAATGCTTTGGTCTGAATTCTCCAGCGTTCCAAAGAAACGATCTTGGAAACTCTGGAAAATCTTTCCAGAACAAAGGTTCTACGTCTTACCAACACCATCAAAAAGGTAGTGACGTACAAAATCGACACAAAGACCAACTGGGTTCACAGCGTGTCAAGTGGAATAACTCCACGAGATCCAGAACCAACAATCAAAAACAAAAAAAAAAAAGTATTGTTCTGGATCTCAAACAGAGAACTCAGGCACCATACGAAGCAAAAATATATCCCTCAATATATTATATGACAATATACTGTATTTCACGTGTATTCATATATTGTGATATTTACATGCCAATATATCATGTCTTGCCTTGCAATATATTATTTATGTAAGTAATTTATTGCAATACATGGTAAAATACTGCAATTATTGCCATTTTCATGTATTGACCAAATATATTTTTGTGCTGTTTAACATATTGTTGGATATATTCTACCTGACCCTGACTCCAACACTAAGGTTAACCAGGAGAAATGTGACCCAAGTAGGGGTCTCCAGAAAAAGTGGTGCGTACAGTAACGCCCCTTTTGTTCTTGTCCAATCAGGTGGTGCCGTACGGTATCGCCCCTTATTTGCTTGTCCAATCAGGTGTGTCCCTTTAACAAAGTCCGTCAAATCAGGTGTGTCGCTTTAGAATCGCCTTTCCTTGTGACGCGCCCACTCGTCCGCAGTCATTCGCAGAGACCCCTACTTGCTTGACAGAGAGCAGGGGGGAGGGACCTGAAGGTTGTATTTCTTCAAAATGTCCTGATGCATCTCAGTTATCCAGGTAGAAAAAATCAAAAAGAAAAAATAAGTAGGTCCTCTGGGTGGGTTCTTCTTTAGTGAAATCTTTCGTCTCTCCTCCAAGAGACTTCTTCAGTCTGATGAGTTTCAGGTGAACTCAGCCTTATAAGCCCTGCCTCCACCTGGACAAACAGGTTAGTCGTATGCAAAAGAGGGCCATCGCCTAACAATAGGCTTGATTAGCTCTATTGTTCATAGAGAGTCATGTCCCCTATCATCTGACCTGTGGCGTGTTATGTGCTGTGAATGCAAGTGGGGGTTCAACGTCCCCTTCTTTTTGTCCCTCTTTGTGTTGGTATCATTGGGGCCCTGACTCACACCATTTGCTCACAGGGGGCTGAGTCATACTTGCAATAACAGCACTGTAGGAGGAGGACAACTGGACACCAAGGCCTCCACCTCTGTTTAATGGTGGACGGTTTTTCTTCACAGAGTTGTCTTCCTTTACTCCTCTCTCAAACCAATGTTCCTCTCTATCAAGGATGAGAATATCTTCATCCCTGAAAGAGTGACTGCTGGCCTGTAGATGAGTGTAAACTACAGGGTACTGGCCTGTGGATGAGTGTAAACTGCAAAGTCCTGGCCAGATAATGTTGCTCGTCTGTGCTGGCTCATTCTTTTGAACAGTGGTGTTTGGTGCTGGGGAACTGGATCTTTGGGGTGAACCAGTCCATTTAATGTGTTTTGGGGTTTGCAAGCCACTGGGACATGTTTAGAGAATAAACTTATCAGTTTCTCTGAAACTTTCGCCATACACAGGATGACGACTGGTTTGGGGTCTTCATTTTCACCTGGTGGTTGATTGGAATCCTGTTTGGGTTTCTTGTCTCCTTTCAGGAAAGCCCAGTTAGGATAACCACACTGCTCCAGGGCCTGTCATGGATGTGCCTTCCCTGCCTCTTGGGTTTGTGGAGACTCTGTCTGGCATAGAGTCCTGATGATTCCTAACTTGTGTTCCAGTGGGTGATACCTTGGGTTGAGCCGGAATATCCATTACGGATAATGCATTTTTGACGAGTGAGCATGAAACGAATAAAACATATCCACACTCATTCTGAAGGAAGATCCTCATTGGGCAACTGACTGAGAGCCCGCCCCTCCCCTCACAGACTCCTCCAAATAGGGGTCTCTGCGGATGAGTGGGCGTGTCACAAGGAAAGGCGATTCTAAAGCGACACACACCTGATTTGACGGACTTTGTTAAAGGGACACACCTGACTGGACAAGCAAGAAAGGGGCGATACCGTACGGCACCACCTGATTGGACAAGAACAAAAGGGGTGTTACTGTATGGCACCACCTGATTGGACAAGAACAAAAGGGGTGTTACTGTACGGCACCACTTTTTCTGGAGACCCCTACTTGGGTCACATTTCTCCTGGTTAACCTAAGTGTTGGGGTCAGGGTCAGGTTGTAAAGACAAGAAGCAGGATCTAAGAATACCGTCATGTAGGCCTCGTAGCGCACAGTGTTTATGCTTTAGACACGCCCACTTACAGTACATTCCACAGGTAACCCCTTCTCGACTCGTCTCTGCAGCAGGAGCTGTGCTCGACTCACACACACACACACACACACACACACACACACACACACACACACACACACACACAC